CCCAGGCTGGCCCACCAACTGCACCAGAAAGCCAAAGGTTCCAGGCTTTCTTTCCTGGGGATAAGGGCTGTTGTTTGCAGCGGGCACAAGAGAAGAAAGGGAGATGTTTCGAAGGTGGCAAGAAGTGTACAAAAGATGACAGTGACATTTGGACACTTGCTGATGCCTTAAAACCTCGTAACTCCAGACAAACTAAACTGACTTTGCTAAAGGACAATTATAGAACTGTTAATACGTGGTTTGAAAAGCTTTGTACTCCACTTTTATCGAATTCTAATATGTTTATTCCCTCATGTTTTATTCCTCTTTTCTGATTAGCTAGAATTTGCTGCATTGCAGCGTTCCCTTACTTGGCATTGTTCCTCCCATAAATGCCCTTATTTGGGTGTTTCTCCTCCCCTTTACCCTAAAAAGGCCTGAACCCCTCTTACCCTTTCCATATAGGGTGTGTCTCCACCCCCAGTTCTGGAACCTTCCCCATCCTACCCTATATAAGTGAGTCCCTGACAAGAATAAAGTGCAATAGCCCAGAGCAGCCTTCTACTTCGCTCGAGCTCCTTTGTGCTGTCGCGTGATCCTTTCCCCATTTCGGACCATGGCAGCACCCCGTTGTGACAGGCTCAGATGCCCTGTCTATCCTTGGCATGAGTTACCTCAGGAGAGGGTATTTCAGGGACTGTAAAGGGCATCACTGGGCTTTTGGGACAGCTGCTGTGGAGACAGAGGAAATTAGTTGAATACCTTGCCTGGCCTCTGAGAGGACTGTTCTGCTGTGGGACTGCAGAAGGTTGAAGAACAAAGGGTAATGATTGCTACCACAAGAGTGCAATGTCGGCAACACTGCATGAACTGGGACGCTGTGAACCCCATCCATGAACTGGAGACCAGGGGGTGGTCAGCAAGATTTGCTCCCCCTTTAATAGTCCTATATGGCCAGTGCATAAGTCCAGTGGAGAGTGGAGACTGACAGTGGACTATCGTGACCTGAATGAAATCACCCCACCACTGATGCCACTGTGCTGGACATACTGGAACTTCAGTATGAGCTGGAGTCCAAGGCAGCCACCACTGACACTGCTAATGAGTTCTGCTCCATCCCTTTGGCAGCAGAGTGCAGGCCACAGTTTGCTTTCACCTGGAGGGGCATCCAGTACACCTGGAACCGACTGTGTGGAAACACAGCCCCACCATTTGCCGTGGACTGATCCAGACTGCACTGGAAAAGCATGAGGCTCCAGGACACTTGGGTGACATCATCGTGTGGGGCAACACAGCAGAGGAAGTTTTTGAGAAAGGGGAGAAGCTAATCCAGATCCTCCTGGAAGCTGGTTTTGCCATAAAACAAAGTAAGGCCAAGGAACCTACCCAGAAAATTCAGTTCCTAGGAGCAAAAGGCAACAGCCTGGATGTTGCCAGACCCCAATGGACATGGTCAACAAAAGAGAAGCTCTGTCCCCACTGACCAGAAAGAAGGAAACACAGGCTTTCCTGAGTACTGCAGGTTTTTGGAGGATGTGTATTCCAGAGTACAGTCAGATTGTGAGCCTGCTCTACTTTGTGCTATGGAAGAAGAACAATTTCAAGTGGGGCCCTGAACAGCAACAAGCTTTTGAATAGATCAAACAAGAGATTGCTCATGCAGTAGCCCTTTGGTCAGTCAGGACAGGATAGGATGTGTAAAACGTGCTCTACACTGCAGCTGGGGACAATGGCCCATCCTGGAGTCTCTGGCAAAAAGTACCTGGGGAGACTCGAGGACAACCCTTCTGCAGTCGGGGATACAAAGTTTCCAAGGCCTGTTACACCCCAACTGAAAAAGAGATCCTGGCAGCTTTTGAAGGGGTTTGAGCCACTTCTTAAGTGATTGGCACCAAAACACGGCTCCTCCTGGCACCCCGACTGCCAGTGCTGGGCTGGACGTTCAAAAGAAAGTCCCTTCCACACATCATGTCACTGATGCCATGTGGAGCAAGTGGATGGCTCTGATCACACAGCGAGCTTGGATAGGAAACCCCAATCGCCCAGAGATCTTGGAATTCATCACCAACTGGCCTGAAGGCCAACATTTCAGACCGTCATAAGAGAAGGAAGAGGAGCAGGTGCCACGTGCTGAGGAGGCCCCACCATACAATCAGCTACCAGAAAATGAAAGGTGACACGCTCTCTTCACTGACAGTTCCCGCTGTATTGTAGGGGCACATCAAAAATGGAAAGCTGCTGCATGGAGTCCTACATGGCGGGTCACACAGGCTATTCAGGGACAAGGCTGATCAAGTCAGGTTGCAGAGCTGAAAGCCATCCAGCTGACTTTAGATATCACTGAATGAGAGAAATGGTCAACACTCTACCTCTCCACCAACTTGTGGATGGTGGCAAACGCTCTGTAGGGATGGTTGGACCTATGGGAAAAGGCCAGTTGGCAGCACAGAGGGAAACCTGTCTGGGCTGCTGAATTGTGGCAAGAAATTATTGCCTGGGCAGAGAAGTTGGCTGTAAAAGTATGTCATGTAAATGCACAGGTACCCAAGAGCTGGGCTAATGAGGAGCATCGCAACAAGGGACAGGTGGATCGGGCTGCCAAGATAAAAGTGTCTCAGGTAGATCTGGACTGGCAACACAAGGGTGAATTATTTCTGGCTCAGTGGGCCTTTGACATCTCAGGTCATCAGGGAAGAGATACAACATCCAGATGGGTGGACTTAACCATGGACACTCTCTCCCAGGTTATCCATGGGAGTGTGAAACGTGTTGTGATCAAGCAGGGCCAAGTGGGTGAAGCCCCTGTGGGATGGGGGATGATGGTCAAAATATAAATATGGGGAGGCTGGGCAGATCAATCATAACACACTCCCCAGACCTGCCAAGGCAAGTGCTATGTGCTGACAATGGTGGAAACGACACTGCATGGCTGGAGACACACCCTGTGCCTCACACCACTGCCTGGAACACCATCCTGGGCCTGGAAAAACAAGTCCTTGGCAACACAGCACCCCAGAAAGACTTGAGTCGGACAGTGGGACTCATTTCAAAAACAGCTTCATAGACACTTGTGCCAGAGAGCGGGGGATAGAATGGGTGAATCATATTCCCTGTCATGCACTAGCCTCTGGGAAAGTTGAATGTTGCAATGGACTGTTAAAAACCACATTGAAGGCAATGGGCAGTGGGACCTTCAGTAGGATCTGAATTTAGCAAAGGCCACCTGGTTAGTTAACACCGGAGGCTCTACCAATTGAGCCCTGCCAATCAGAGCCCTTACATACCTTAGAAGGAGATAAAGTCCCATGGTGCATATGAGGAATGTGTTAGGGAAGACAGTTTGGATTACTCCTGCCACAAGCAAAGGCAAACCCCTCCGTGGGAGTGTTTTTGCTCAAGGACCTGGATGCACTTGGTGGGTAATGCAGAGGGATGGGCAAACATGATGTGAACCTCAAGGGGATGTGATTTTGGGTGAGAACTGTCTGTAACGTTGAATTGCATATATAATGCTGGTTGCTGAATCACACTGCCACTGTATCCCATAAATGCCATGGACAATGAGGACAGACTGCTCCAGTTACACCACTCATGACTGAATGAACTCAACACACATCTTGGGGGATGGTCAGTGACTAGTGAAATAACACCTGTGCTTCTGAATAGTTATGTGTATGTGTATCTATATCTATATCTATATATATACACAGTTAAAAAAGGATTAATTTTGGCATGAAGACGATGGTATAGAACAAGGAGTGGATTATGTTGTGGTTACAGAGATAGGAGGTGGGCATTAGCACTACGTGGGTGAGACCAAACTGTATATTCTGCACCAACTACATCATCATTGGAGGATGTCGTTCCAGCAGGGAATGCCAAGGCGCCAGAAGAGGAACGTTTTTTCATTCCTGCCTCAGTCACCGAAGGCGTGGACTGTCCCTCTAAACTCTGCTGGCAGAAGTGGAAGGGTGGCCTTTCTTTTGCCAGGCTTGCTCAGGAGAGGGAGGGCCAGGGCTGCAGCTGCCACCTGCCACTGCCACAATTGCCCCAGAGCCATCGGAGCTGCTCCGTGAGTCCCAGGAGCTGTTGGAGCTGCTCTGTGAGTCCCAGGAGCCATCAGAGCTGCTCCATCAGTCCCAGGAGCCATCAGAGCTGCTCCATCAGTCCCAGGAGCCATCAGAGCTGCTCTGTGAGTCCCAGGACCTGTTGGAGTCACTTCTCAAGCCCTGCCACAGGTCAGAGCCGCCCCAAATCCGAAAACAAACGTCACCACTACTGCAGGGATCGTCACCGCCACAGGCACCATCGGACCCAGTGTCTCTGCAGCATAAGTCCTTTCAGACAAAATACTTTTCCAAGCTTTGCTTTGCCCTTCTTCCCCATTGTTTGTCTGGCTGGGGGAGGGTGTTAAACTGCAGAAACTCATTTGCCACATTGATTTCTTTTTTCTCCCAAGCCATGTCAGGTGAAAACCAGGAAGGAGCGCTCTTGTTTTTTTATCCTGGGGTCCAGGCAGGAAAACTACACTGGATGCTCTCTTCAGGGAGCAGTTTTTTTTGTTCGGTGGTATATACTCCTGTTTGTGGGTAAACCAATCCCTTTCTATTGTTCTGTTTACTGCAAGTTTTTCTTGTAAAAATTCTATAAATGCGTGTAAAATTGGGATTCCCACAATTTTATTTTCCCATTGTCTCTCCTAGTGTCTCTCCCCCTGCCAGAAGGGGGAAGAGAAGGGGGTGGACATCCTCAGTGGGGTTAACCTTTTTTTTAACCCTGGGTTATTTAAACCACCAAAGAGGTCCAGGACCACATGGTCCTGCTGCAATAGATGTGCCCTCAGCCCAAGGACCCTCACCACGGACTGCCCCAGCCCCTCAGGGCCCTGCTGCTGGTCACAGGAGCTCCAGCCTGGCTCCTGCCTGCCCACACCGTGGGCATCCACGGCTGCGCCCGGGCACGGAGCTCAGCCAGGGCTGGGGCCTTGGGGCTTTGCTGGTGGGACCACCCGGACACTCAAGTGATGCTGAATCTATCTTTATTTGAACAAAAGGGGTGGGCAGGAAAGGACCAACTTCAGTCCGCGTCATAGGGTGCGATCAGTGGGTTTAGAGGCAGAGAGGAACGTTTTGGTGGCAGCTGGACCTTGACATCAAAAAGCAGGTGCTGCAGCCGTGGCAACGCAGCTGAGCAAGGGTACAAAGAGTGAGGGTGAGAGGTCCTGCTCTTCCTGCCCGAGGTGTTTGGCTGCTCTGGAGCAGGAGCAAGGCTGCTCTCTTGCCTGTGGAGAGAGGAGGTGGCTGAGGCCCAGCTGCAGGGGGCACACAGGGACTCTGCTGCCCAGCAGGGCCCAGAGCTGGCAAGGCTCAGCAGCACGGGGGAGCTGCTGGCACACCTTGGCCCCGGTGGACACCTGCCCCTCAAGGCCCCAGCGAGCAGGGGGATGGCTCTGGGCAGGGGCCCTGGGCAGGAGCGGGCGCCAGGGCACGTCTGCCTTCCAAGGGCAATCTCGTCCCCGCTCCTTCTCCTCCCCACCTTGCTTTGCCTCTGCCCGTCCTGCTGGGGCTGCTCTTGGCCACGCAGGCTCACTTGGAGCCAGCACTGGCTCCAGTCCCAGCGGGCTCCCCAGGAGGGGCCCAGCAGCTGAGAGGCCAGGACAGCACTGGACAGCAGCAGAACCCTCAGCAGAGTTCCTTGACCAAGGACTAACTGGCCGCTCCACAGCAGCCAGGCTGGGAATGTTCCATGGCTAGGAGCTGCCTTCAAAAGAAGCTGTTTGAGGGGGAGATCAACAAACAACTCACCGTTTTCTCACCCTCCAGTACCAGATTCCAGCACAGCATGACATGATGGCAAGCAACCCACCCAACATGCTTGCCATTATCACAATCAAACAGCGTGTTCCTCGACAGAAATCTCTTCCTGCACTCTTCTGGATCTTGGGAGCACGTGTTGTGGCACTGGCTGCATCTGCGGGAGCAATTTGGAGCGTTAGCCCGTCCTGGGCACCCCTGCTAAGCCGACAGCACGTTGGACACAGCCAGGACATTCTCTGGTTCCCTCAGTGCGGGTGCCTGGAGGCAGTACCAGCACTGATCCTCCCTGCTCCAGGACAGCTCCCACAGCCAAAAGGGTCAGACCCTCTCAGGAGACACATGAGCCCCAGTCCAGAGAGGCTGCGATGGATCCCTTCCCGCTGTGCAGCCACATGTGGATGTAAAGCCCCCAGCTGATGAGCCTCACAGCTCAGGCTGAGGGAAAGGGACCCACCCTGACCTCTCCCCAGTTCATTTAGTATTTCTCTCATGCCTTCAGATGGCTCCTGGGATTTCTTTTCACCTGGAGGTTGGTTCTTGCCTCTTGGAGGACCTGAATGGAAAGTTAGTTTCATTTGACAGGAACGGATTAGAGAAAACCAGAGCTCAGCCTGTGAGGTCAGCAGGGACAGACTACTCACCCCTGCCATGTGAGCTGGGCTTGTGTGGAACAACCAGCAGAGGAGCTGGAAAAGTCTTCCCTGCAGATACGCCTGTAACTCAACAGCCAGAGAAGATTCTGTCATCTGGCTCTTGCGACATTTGTTGGGTTTAGAATTTCGAGTAATTGATCTTTGAGGAAAAATGACACTTTACCTGCAGGGGACATCAAGGGCCCCAAAACATCATGCAGCCAATCCAATGGAGAAGCATTCCCAGCACCCTCATCTAGAAGCCAACAGAGATGGGAACTGTTTCCACGGCATGCTGGGATCCCCTCCTGCCTCAGAGAACTGTGGCACTGCAGGGGCTCGGGGAGCCCCGTGGGGGCCAGATGTCAATGGACATGGCCAGAGCTGCAGAGGGGCCTGGGCAGCTCTGGGCTGGCTCCTGGCCGCTCTGCACACTCGTTCCAGGCCCTGTGCAACATCCCTGGGGGAGCGACTGGAGCAGCCAAGGACCCTTTGGGGCTCTCTCCGCACTCAGGAAACCCTGGCTAAAGCCCTGGGGAAAAACTGCAGCAGGCAGTGCCACAACAAAACATCCTTCCCTGGGAGAAAGTTTCTACAGTGGATAGTCAGGCCCACTTATGAGACACTGGAGCCTTGCTTTCTGCAACAATGGGAGCAGCTGCAGCGGGAGGGACCTTGGGGCCAGAGTCCCGTTTCCCAGGGGCTGCAGAACATGCTCCAGATGCCTCCAACCTGTCGTACTTTCAGCTTTGGCTGCTGTCGTGACGGGCCCGAGGGGGCACTGGGGGAAGAGCTGCTGCCACACAGCCACCCCGATGGCCGACACCGATGACCACGCCACAGCAATTACCCCGTGTGCCCGTGCCTGGCATCGCCTCCCTGCCCTCAGCAGAGCCTGGCATGGAGCCACTGCTTCCTTTGGGGAACACTGACTTCTGAACAGCCTCTTGGTCCATCTCTGGGGAAAGCAAGAGGGACAACTGGATCAGAGGGAGCTGTTCTCCATAAGGGAAGTGGCATCTTCTGGGGCAATGCTTATAAAAGACATGGGAAAGGTCCAGGGAAACAGCCAGGCTTTTGGGGCTGGGTCAGGGCACTCCCTCCTCCAAACAGCCGCCACACCGGAGCTGCCGGGAGAGCAGACCAGGCAATTGCAGGGGATCTCCTGGTCTGCAGGGCCCGTGGTGCATTTGGGGCACGGGGTCATGGGATGCTCAAGGCCTTCCTGCAGAGGCTGGGGAGAAGCTGCAGCCAGGCCAGGTGGGGAAACAGCCCCGCAAGGCGGGAAAGCAGCAGCGGGGCAGCGAGGCTGCGATGGATCCCTTCCTGCTGTGCAGCCACTGCCTGTCCACACGTGGATCTAAAGCCCCCGGCTGATGGGTCTCACGGCTCAGGCTGAGGAAATAGACCCACCAGGCCCTCCCTGCAGCACTCCCTTCAGCATCTGCCTCATGCCTTCAGATGGCTCCTGGGATTTCTTTGCACCTTGAGGTTGGCTCTTGCCTCCTGGAGGACCTGAATGGCAAGCAGTTCCATTTGACATGAATGGATTAGAGAAAACCAGAGCTCAGCCTGTGAGGTCAGCAGGGACAGACTACTCACCCCTATGATGTGAGTTTAGCTTGTATGGAACAAGCAGTAGAGGAGCTGGAAAAGTCCTCCCTGCAGACACCCCTGTAACTCAATAGCCAGAGAAGTTTCTGTCACCTGGATCTTTCCACGTTTATTGTTTATAAAATATAGAATTATTATTCTCTGAGGGGATTTACCTGCCGGAGGTTGCACGGGCTCCAAAACTTCATGCAGCCAATCCAATGGCGACGCATTCCCAGCACCCTCATCTAGAAGCAAACAGAGATGGGAACCGTTTCCATGGCATGCTGGGATCCCCTCCTGCCTCAGAGAACTGTGGCACTGCAAGGGCTCGGGGAGCCCCGTGGGGGCCAGATGTCAATGGACATGGCCAGAGCTGCAGAGGGGCCTGGGCAGCTCTGGGCTGGCTCCTGGCCGCTCTGCACACTCGTTCCAGGCCCTGTGCAACATCCCTGGGGGAGCGGCTGGAGCAGCCACGGGCCCCTCGGGGCTCTGTGCCACAAACCCTCACTAAAGCCCTGCACTAAAGCCCTGCATCTGGCAGTGCCACAACTAGTCCTCCCGCCTCCCAGCCATTGCCCACAGCCCAAAGGGACTGAGTCAGGCCCTCTGAGGAGGTACTGGAGCCTTGCTCTCCCCATCTGCTTTTTTTCCCCAGTAGGGGCACCCCTTGCAGCTGCTCCAATGTTTCAGGCAATGCTCCTCACTGAGGTCTCTCAACAGGACTGCTCAGTACCCAAGTTCCCTGAGTCTGCTCAGGATTAATCTATTTTGTTTTGGTCTTCTTGCCGTGACGTGCCCGAGCAGGCACTGGGGGAAGAGCTGCTGCCACACAGCCACCCCGATGGCCGACACCGATGACCACGCCACAGCAATTACCCCGTGTGCCCGTGCCTGGCATCGCCTCCCTGCCCGCAGCAGAGCCTGGCACGGAGCCACTGCTTCCTTTGGGGAACGCCGCCTGCCACAGAGCCCCTTGGTCCATCTCTGGGGAAAGCAAGAGGGACAGCTGGATCAGATGAGACTGATCTAAAGGCTCCGGCTGATGAGTGTCACAGCTCAGGCTGAGAGAAACAGACCCACCTCGCCCTCTCATCAGTTCCTTCACAATTTCTCTCAGGATTTCATTTGATTCAAGAAATTCTTTGTCTCCTTCAGCTTCACTCCTGCCTTTCAGAGGACCTGAATGGGAAGTAGTTCCATTTGATATGAACAGATTAGAGAAAACCAGAACTCAGCCTGTGAGGTCAGCAGGGACAGACTACTCACCCTTGCCATGTGAATTGCGCTTGTGCAAAGGAACCAGCAGAGGAGCTGGAAAAGTCTTCCCCGCAGACACCCCTGTAACTCAACAGCCAGAGAAGATTCTGTCATACCTGCTGATCTACATGTTGGGACCAAAGGAGCCCCACGCAGAGCTGTCAGGGCACCAGGGACTCCCTGGAGCTGCCCCAGCTCCAAACTCAGCCCCAGCGAGGGCCATGGCTTGGCAGCCGCAGCGGGAGCACCTCCGGCTCCGAGGGGCCGGCAAAGGAGCCGCGCCAGGCACAGCCCCCCGGGCACAGCCCTGGGCCCGGCCCCTTCCCTCTCTGCCCTTCTCCGTGTCCACACGGAGGGAGCAACTGGCATCTCCAGGGAAAGAAGATTAAAAGCTCCCCCTGACAGGGATCCTGTGGGATCCCTCTTGGGCCTGAGCAAAGAGTTGGCCATGATTGCCACAATCCAGCAACCTTGAGAGGGTCTTAAGGAAAATGGCACATGAATGAGCTCTTGAAAGACTGACAATGATTATTCTGCCAGGAAAGGGACACTGAGAACTTGCCTCCAGGTTGCTCCAGGAAACTCAAAGCATCATCCACAAGAACTTGCAGGTAATCCAAGTCATGATCTAGAAGCAAACAGGGATGGGAACCGTTTCCATGGCATGCTGGGATCCCCTCCTGCCTCAGAGAACTGCGGCACTGCAGGGGCTCGGGGAGCCCCGTGGGATCCAGATGTCAATGGACATGGCCAGAGCTGCAGAGGGGCCTGGGCAGCTCTGGGCTGGCTCCTGGCCGCTCTGCACACTCGTTCCAGGCCCTGTGCAACATCCCTGGGGGAGCGGCTGGAGCAGCCACGGGCCCCTCGGGGCTCTCTCAGGAGTGCAGAGCAAACCCTCACTGAACCCAGATCATGATGGGCCCGAGCGGGCACTGGGGGAAGAGCTGCTGCCACACAGCCACCCCGATGGCCGACACCGATGACCACGCCTCAGCAATTACCCCGTGTGCCCGTGACTGGCATCGCCTCCCTGCCCGCAGCAGAGCCTGGCACGGAGCCACTGCTTCCTTTGGGGAACGCCGCCTGCCACAGAGCCCCTCGGTCCATCTCTGGGGAAAGCAAGAGGGACAGCTGGATCAGAGGGAGCTGTTCTCCATAAGGGAAGTGGCATCTTCAGGAGGCAATGCTTATAAAAGACATGGGAAAGGTCCAGGGAAACAGCCAGGCTTTTGGGGCTGGGTCAGGGCACTCCCTCCTCCAAACAGCCGCCACACCGGAGCTGCCGGGAGACCAGACCAGGCAATTGCAGGGGATCTCCTGGTCTGCAGGGCCCGTGGTGCATTTGGGGCACAGGATCAGGGGATGCTCAAGGCCTTCCTGCAGAGGCCGGGGAGAAGCTGCAGCCAGGCCAGGCGGGGAAACAGCCCCGCAAGGCGGGAAAGCAGCAGCGGGGCAGCGAGGCTGCGATGGATCCCTTCCCGCTGTGCAGCCACTGCCTGTCCACACGTGGATCTAAAGCCCCCGGCTGATGGGTCTCACGGCTCAGGATGAGGAAACAGACCCACCAGGCCCTGCCTGCAGCATTTCCTTCAGCATCTGCCTCATGCCTTCAGATGGCTCCTGGGATTTCTTTGCACCTTGAGGTTGGCTCTTGCCTCCTGGAGGACCTGAATGAGAAGCAGTTCCATTTGACATGAATGGATTAGAGAAAACCAGAGCTCAGCCTGTGAGGTCAGCAGGGACAGACTACTCACCCCTATGATGTGAGTTTAGCTTGTATGGAACAACCAGCACAGCAGCTGGAAAAGTCCTCCCCGCGGACACCGCTGTAACTCAACAACCAGACATACTTCACTGCAGGGCCCTCATCTCTGCCCTCCGCTCAGAAGCAGGGGCAGAGCTCCCACAGGCCAGCAGTGACCCCTCACTGGCACCAAAGGAGCCCCACGCAGAGCTGTCAGGGCACCAGGGACTCCCTGGAGCTGCCCCAGCTCCAAACTCAGCCCCAGCGAGGGCCATGGCTTGGCAGCCGCAGCGGGAGCACCTCCGGCTCCGAGGGGCCGGCAAAGGAGCCGCGCCAGGCACAGCCCCCCGGGCACAGCCCTGGGCCCGGCCCCTTCCCTCTCTGCCCTTCTCCGTGTCCACACGGAGGGAGCAACTGGCATCTCCAGGGAAAGAAGATTAAAAGCTCCCCCTGACAGGGATCCTGTGGGATCCCTCTTGGGCCTGAGCAAAGAGTCGGCCATGATTGCCACAATCCAGCAACCTTGAGAGGGTCTTAAGGAAAATGGCACATGAATGAGCTCTTGCCACGCTGAAAGGGATTATTCTGTCAGGAAAGGGACACTGAGAACTTGCCTCCAGGTTGCTCCAGGAAATTCAAATCATCATCCACATTTCCAGCTTTCACATTATCCAAGTCTTGATCCTCATCTAGAAGCCAACAGAGGTGGGAACTGTTTCCATGGCATGCTGGGACTGGAGCACTGCAGGGGCTCGGGGGGTCCCCATGGGGGCCAGATGTCAACGGACATGGCCAGAGCTGCAGAGGGGCCTGGGCAGCTCTGGGCTGGCTCCTGGCCGCTCTGCACACTCGTTCCAGGCCCTGTGCAACATCCCTGGGGGAGCGGCTGGAGCAGCCAAGGACCCTTTGGGGCTCTCTCCACACCCAGGAAACCCTGGCTAAAGCCCTGGGGAAAACCATCCCAGACACTTCCCGGGGAGAAGAGCCCGCTGGCCGGGAAAGGTGCCCCAGGCCGCCGGCTCACCTGCTCCCCGCACTGGCACCGGAGCAGCCTGGGCAGCCCTGGCGTGCAGGGCCACTGCCAGGAGGAGGAGGAGGAAGAGGCGGAGAGCAAGGGCCATGGCCCCTCGCCCTCACACCGTCCGGCAGCTACTGCTGCCGCCGCTGTCCTGACACCCCTGTTGTACAATCTCTGTCTGGTAATCTTCGTCCAGTAATCTTCATCCAAACGCCGCCGCTGCCGCCGCCCCGGTTGTGGTCAGGGACCAAGTGGTTGGTCATTGTTGCACTGTGGGACCACAGGGCTCTGTGACCTCACAGTCCTGCTGTGACCTCACTGTCTGGGGGGGATTGTGCAGGGACACATATCAGGAGCTGCCCTCCCAGCCAGGGGAGCACATCCCGCCACACAGCTCTGTCCAGTCGACTTGTTGGCCTGAGAACTGATTTGTATGACATTGCACAAGTGAGACGTTTCATGGCTCTACTGCAATCTCAATGCCAGCTCCAACATTCACCTCCTGTCGGTGATTCCCGCTCTTGCCGGCAGCACCTGCCAGCTCTTCCCCCGCCACGCCGACACCGAGTGTGTGCTGTGCACTCAGGGCTGGGGGGTGGCCCATATTGAAACAGGGAAGGACTTGATGCCGTAATTCATAAAAATAACCCAAGGCAGGCAATCAGGGCAGCTGCAGCAACGCCAGCACCGTGGGCCTGTGATCCCTCCCTGCCTGCTCCATCCAAGGGATGGCACCTTGGTACCAGCACAAGGGTTAGCCAACAGCAGCAAGGAATTCATCCATTGCAGACTGGACTGCCACGACATTAAAGGAAAAAGGCTGGGTGTCCCTCTACTGCAACTGAGGCTCCCAGTTCCCTTGGCGGTCGCAATAGCATTTGCATTCCGGCAGCCATGGGCTTCCAGTGGCTGGAACGGAGAAATGCCATCCTTGGAAAGAGATAACAAGCTCTCCTGCAGGCAAAGGGATGTATTAAACACCAGCAGTGAACGTGGAACTCTTTATTTGGGAGAGCACTTTCTGTTCCCACTCCCTCTGCCCTAAGAACTGAGCAGTGTCCACTGTCACTTTAGCCTTTGCTGACTTGAGCCAGCTTTGGATCCAAGTACTTGGAATTGTAACATCTGTCCGAGTATGTCAGCTATGACAACAGTGAATAAGAAGCCCCTTTTTGGGATGTTATGCCATTGGTTCTGCAGGGGAATAAACGGAGGGCAGTTTCTGTAAAATGCCTGCACAACCACCCCTGCACATCAGAGGCCACAGGAGGGTGGAGCTAAGGTGTGTTACTCCCCGTCAAGATATTGGTTTTGAGGGGAAAAGATGAAAAAAAACCCAGGATCAGCCACTCTTCCCGGGGAGAAGCGTTGAAAGTCTCTGCCCCTCAAGACCTTCCCAGCTTGTGGGCCATGGTCACTGCCGTCTAAGGCGTGGCCTCGGAACTCCCAGTGCCAGGCTCCCGCTGGTGTGAGAAGCCACGGGCTCAGCTGTCCCCCCGCAGTGCCTCCTGTGCCCTGGCGAAGCGCCGGGGCTGTAGGCGTGTGTTGGGCTCTCTTAGGGATGAAGAGGCGCTCTTGCAAAGTCGGCGGTGCAGTGCCAAGGGCCTGGTGGTGCAGTTGTCAGACACAGAGAGGTGCAGTTTGCCCAGAGACAAGGGGACCAACCAGCAGCAAAGACTCGGGCCCCCCTTTGGGCAAGGCCGGGGCCCCTTCCCCTGCTGGCCGTGGACTGGGGGCGCTGTGGGCGTGTGGGGAAGGTGTAACCCCGCGGTCCCTGGGCCAGCGGGGGAACGGGGAGGGACCCGCGCTCGGGCACGGGAGAAAAGAGGCTGCGAGCGCTGTCAGGGGCAGAGAGCTCAGCGCGGGGTGTGCAGTGGGGTCTGCCTTGGATTCGCATGAAAGTTTCCGTGAGCTCCTCTGGCTCTTGGCTGCTTTGGAGGCTCTTAACACCGGAATTCTGCTTCGGAAAAGCTCCAGCCAAGGGCTCAGCGAGGAGGCCCCTTGTTGTGCCTCCCCCCGGCTCGTCAGGCTGCCCCACGGCCCCTTCGCCCCGCGGGTCCCTGGCCCGGCCAGACTGCCCTGGGAAGGGCCCCGGGATGGGATGGGATGGGATGGGATGGGGTGGGATGGGATGGGATGGGATGGGATGGGATGGGATGGGATGGGATGGGATGGGATGGGATGGGATGGGATGGGATGGGATGGGCCCGCCTGCTGTTCCAGGAGCCTGGGCAGAGCAGGGACAGCACATTTGCTCCCAGCTCGGCATGGCCTCGACTCAGAGCTGGGCAAGGGAAGAACAGCAAGAAACCCCCTAAAGTTTAACCCTGCTGCGTGCCTGCCAAGGGACCCCAGCCCCCAGCACGCCTTAGGAGAGACCCCAAAATATCCCTGTGTGCCACACGAGGGACCCCAGCCCCCTGCGTGCCTTAAAGGGTCTCCAGGCACCTGCACACCACAGAAGAGGCCCCAGACCCCCTGAGAACCTCATGAGAGGCCGCAGCCCCCTGCACGGCTTAGGAAAAACCCCAAACCCCCTGCCCGCCTTAAAGGAAAATCCAAACCCCCCACCATGTTCCTCATGACAGTCCTCAGCCCCCTGCAAGTCTTATGGGGGACCTCAGCCCCCTGCAGCCCTCAGGAGAGACCCCAAAATATGCCTGGGTGCCTCACAAGGGACTGCAGCCCCCCCCCACTTCTTCAGGGGCCCTCACCCCTGCACACCATAGAAGACACCTCCAAATATGCCTGAGTGCCTCCTGAGGGACACCAGTCCCACCTTACGGGGGACTCCAAATTCCCTCCTGCCATATGGGGACCCCATCCCAGCAACACCGAGTGTTTTGACCTGGGAAGTTGAGTGTGTCGTTGCCCCCGGATTGTTGGTGCTCTCTAGAGCTGTTCTGCAGCAAATCCTTCCATGAAGGGCTTCTGTATGGAGCACAGTCCAGTCCCATCCCCTATTTTTCCAAGGCAAGCCACTACTGAAAACCCTGGCAAATGGGTTCTGCAAATTTGTCAGATCCCAGGGTGTTACCCTGGCTGCCCTCTCAATGCTCCATTCAAGCAGTGGGTGATCACAGCTGAGTTACTCCCCAGGCAGTCAAAGCCTCACTCAGAGAGCATCTGGACAGGAGCACAGCACCCAGAGGTGACAAGGAGACCCCTTGTTTTGCCTGCTGACATTACAATGTCCCTACAGATGCTCTTGATGGCTTCCCTCTTTTCCTGGGCATCCTATCTGAGAGGCCCAGGCCCAGATGGTCCCACTGCAGTAAAGGTGCCCTCAGCCCAAGGTCCCTCACCACAGGCTCCCCCAGCCCCAGCCTGGCTCCTGCCTGCCCACACCGTGGGCATCCACGGCTGCGCCCGGGCACGGAGCTCAGCCAGGGCTGGGGCCTTGGGGCTTTGCTGGTGGGACCACTCAGACACTCAAGGGGGGGGTTATTTCTATTTATTTGTACATAAAGGTGGGCCAACCCCAACCCTGGCAGGGCAGGACCACCTTTAGACGGGGCTGGGGGGTGGGGCCGCAGGGCTCGGGGGCAGAGGGGCTCCTTTTCCTGGCAGCTGGACCAGGAGAGTGAGAAGCCCGTTCTTCAGCCGCGTCAGCACGGCCGGCTTTGGGCAGGAAGAGCAGAGATGAGAGGTCCAGCTCTTCCTGCCCGAGGTGTTTGGCTGGGCTGGAGCAGGAGCAGAGAGGAGCCTGTGGAGAGAGGAGGTGGCTGAGGCCCAGCTGCAGGGGGCACACAGGGACTCTGCTGCCCAGCAGGGCCCAGAGCTGGCAAGGCTCAGCAGCACGGGGGAGCTGCTGGCACACCTTGGCCCCGGTGGACACCTGCCCCTCAAGGCCCCAGCGAGCAGGGGGATGGCTCTGGGCAGGGGCCCTGGGCAGGAGCGGGCGCCAGGGCACGTCTGCCTTCCAAGGGCAATCTCGTCCCCGCTCCTTCTCCTCCCCACCTTGCTTTGCCTCTGCCCGTCCTGCTGGGGCTGCTCTTGGCCACGCAGGCTCACTTGGAGCCAGCACTGGCTCCAGTCCCAGCGGGCTCCCCAGGAGGGGCCCAGCAGCTGAGAGGCCAGGACAGCACTGGACAGCAGCAGAACCCTCAGCAGAGTTCTTTGGCCAAGGACTAACTGGCCGCTCCACAGCAGCCAGGCTGGGAATGTTCCATGGCTAGGAGCTGCCTTCAAAAGAAGCTGTTTGAGGGGGAGATCAACAAACAACTCACCGTTTTCTCACCCTCCAGTACCAGATTCCAGCACAGCACATGATGACAAGCTGCCCACCCAACATGCTTGCCACTATCACACTCAAACAGCCGGTTCCCCAACAGAAATCTCTCCCAGTGCTCTCCTGGATCTTGGGAGCACGTGTTGTGGCACCGGCTGCATCTGCGGGAGCAATTTGGAGCGTTAGCCCGTCCTGGGCACCCCTGCTAAGCCGACAGCACGTTGGACACAGCCAGGACGTTCTCTGTTTCCCTCAGTGCGGGTGCCTGGAGGCTCCCAGCCCTGGGGACAGGCTGTCCCACCAAAGCAAACCCAGAAGGCCGGGAGGAGAGCCCGGGGGGAGCGGAGCTGCTTGAGCAGTCGCTCCTTTGAGGGACACGCACACAACCCATCCCTGCAGCAGGCAGTGCCAGCCTCATCCTTCCCTGCCCTGGGACAGCTCCCACAGCCCAAGGGGATGGAGTCAGGCCCTCTGAGGAGACACGTGAGCCTCTGCCCAGGGTGGGAGCCAGGGAGCGCCCTTTCTGAAGTTCCTTCAAATTTTCTTTCAGAACTTCATTTGACTCAAGGGTCTTTTTCTCTCCTGGACGTTGGCTCTTGCCTCTTGGAGGACCTGAATGACAAGCAGTTCCATTTGACATGAATGGATTAGAGAAAACCGGAGCTCAGGCTGTGAGGTCAGCAGGGACAGACTACTCACTCATGCCATATGCGGTGGTCTTGCTCAGAGGAATCAGCAGTGGAGCTGGAAAAGTCCTCCCTGCGGACACCCCTGTAACTCAACAGGCAGAGACACTTGTGTCATCCCTGGGGCTCTGCACGGGCAGCCCTGAGGTACAGTGGGGGTGAGGGGATCCCGCAGGGACAGGGCACACACGGGCAGGTCTCTGTCCTGGCCCCTGCAGAGGTGCCCGGCTGGCCCTGCTTTGGGCTCTGATCTGCCCCAGCTCCAAACTCAGCCCCAGCGAGGCCCATGGCTTGGCAGCCGCAGCGGGAACACCTCTGGCTCCGAGGGGCCGGCAAAGGAGCCGCGCCAGGCACAGCCCCCCGGGCACAGCCCTGGGCCCGGCCCCTTCCCTCTCTGCCCTTCTCCGTGTCCACACGGAGGGAGCAACTGGCATTTCCAGGGAAAGAAGATTAAAAGCTCCCCCTGACAGGGATCCTGTGGGATCCCTCTTGGGCCTGAGCAAAGAGTCGGCCATGATTGCCACAATCCAGCAACCTTGAGAGGGTCTTAAGGAAAATGGCACATGAATGAGCTCTTGCCACATTGAAAGGGATTATTCTGTCAGGAAAGGGACACTGAGAATTTGCCTCCGGGTTGCCCCAGGAAATTCAGTGCATCATTCAGCAGGATTTCCAGATCATCCAAGTCATGATTCCTGTCTAGAAGCAAACAGGGATGGGAACCGTTTCCATGGCATGCTGGGATCCCCTCCTGCCTCAGAGAACTGTGGCACTGCAGGGGCTCGGGGGTCCCCATGGGGGCCAGAAGTCAATGGACATGGCCAGAGCTGCAGAGGGGCCTGGGCAGCTCTGGGCTGGCTCCTGGCCGCTCTGCACACTCGTTCCAGGCCCTGTGTAACATCCCTGGGGGAGCGGCTGGAGCAGCCACGGGCCCCTCGGGACTCTCTCAGGAGCGCAGAGCAAACCCTCACTGAACCCACATCGTGATGGGCCCGAGTGGGCACTGGGGGAAGAGCTGCTGCCACACAGCCACCCCGATGGGTGACACCGGCTGACCACGCCTCAGCAATTACCCCGTGTGCCCGTGCCTGGCATCGCCTCCCTGCCCTCAGCAGAGCCTGGCACGGAGCCACTGCTTCCTTTGGGGAACGCCGCCTGCCACAGAGCCCCTTGGTCCATCTCTGGGGAAAGCAAGAGGGACAGCTGGATCAGAGGGAGCTGTTCTCCATAAGGGAAGTGGCATCTTCAGGAGGCAATGCTTATAAAGAACATGGGAAAGGTCCAGGGAAACAGCCAGGCTTTTGGGGCTGGGTCAGGGCACTCCCTCCTCCAAACAGCCGCCACACCGGAGCTGCCGGGAGACCAGACCAGGCAATTGCAGGGGATCTCCTGGTCTGCAGGGCCCGTGGTGCATTTGGGGCACGGGGTCATGGGATGCTCAAGGCCTTCCTGCAGAGGCCGGGGAGAAGCTGCAGCCAGGCCAGGCGGGGAAACAGCCCCGCAAGGTGAGAAAGCAGCAGCGGGGCAGCGAGGCTGCGATGGATCCCTTCCCGCTGTGCAGCCACTGCCTGTCCACACGTGGATCTAAAGCCCCCGGCTGATGGGTCTCACGGCTCAGGCTGAGGAAACAGACCCACCTTGCCCTTTCTGAAGTTCCTTCAAAATTTCTTTCAGAACTTCATTTGACTCATGGGTCTTTTTCTCTCCTGGAGGTTGGCTCTTGCCTCTTGGAGGACCTGAATGGCAAGCAGTTCCATTTGACATGAACAGATTAGAGAAAACCAGAGCACAGCCTGTGAGGTCAACAGGGACAGACTACTCACCTCTGCCATGTGAGGCTGGTTTGGGCGGAGCAACCAGAAAAGGAGCTGGAAAAGTCCTCCCTGCAGACACCCCTGTAACTCAACAGCCAAAGAAGTTTCTGTCATCTGGCTCTTGCCATGTTGTCAAATATTTTTCTTTGAGGGGACATTGAGAACTTACTTTCAGGAGGCTGCAAGGGCCCCAAAACTTTACGCAGCCAATCCAATGGAGAAGCATTCCCAGTGTTCTCATCTAGAAGCAAACAGAGATGGGAACCCTTTCCATGGCATGCTGGGATCCCCTCCTGCCTCAGAGAACTGTGGCACTGCAGGGGCTCGGGGAGCCCTGTGGGATCCAGATGTCAATGGACATGGCCAGAGCTGCAGAGGGGCCTGGGCAGCTCTGGGCTGGCTCCTGGCCGCTCTGCACACTCGTTCCAGGCCCTGTGCAACATCCCTGGGGGAGCGGCTGGAGCAGCCAAGGGCCCCTCGGGGGTGTCTCCTGCACTCAGGAAACCCTGGCTAAAGCCCTGGGGAAGACTGCAGCAGGCAGTGCCAGCCCCATCCCTCCCTGCCCCGGGACAGCTCCCACAGCCCAAGAGGACGAAGTCAGGCCCTCTCAGGAGACACGTGAGCCCTGCCCAGGGTGGGAGCCAGGGAGCGCTCCGGCCCTCGGCTTGCGGGAGGGATCCCGCTCTGGGCTGCTCTGGTGCCTTGGGCCTCTCGAGACTCAGGGCCAGCGCTGGGAGCAGCTGCAGCGGGAGGGACCTTGGGGCCAGAGTCCCGTTTCCCAGGGGCTGCAGAACATGCTCCAGATGCCTCCAACCTGTCGTGCTTTCAGCTTTGGCTGCTGCCGTGACGGGCCCGAGGGGGCACTGGGGGAAGAGCTGCTGTCACACAGCCACCCCGATGGCCGACACCGGCTGACCACGCCACAGCAATTACCCCGTGTGCCCGTGCCTGGCATCGCCTCCCTGCCCTCAGCAGAGCCTGGCACGGAGCCACTGCTTCCTTTGGGGAACATTAACTTGTGAACAGCCCCTTGGTCCATCTCTGGGGAAAGCAAGAGGGACACCTGGATCAGATGGGACCATTCTCCGTTAAGGAGGTGGCATCTTCGCAATACAAGGGATCTCCTGCTTTGCAAGGCCCGTGGTGCATTTGGGGCATGGGGTCATGGGATGCTCAAGGCCTTCCTGCAGAGGCCAGGGAGAAGCTGCAGCCAGGCCAGGCGGGGAAACAGCCCCGCAAGGTGGGAAAGCAGCAGCGGGGCAGCGAGGCTGCGATGGATCCCTTCCCGCTGTGCAGCCACTGCCTGTCCACACTGGGCTCAGGCTGAGGAAACAGATCCACCTCGCCCTTTCTGAAGTTCCTTCATAATTTCTTTCAGAACTTCATTTGACTCACGGGTCTTTTTCTCTCCTGGACGTTGGCTCTTGCCTCTTGGAGGACCTGAATGGCAAGCAGTTCCATTTGACATGAACGGATTAGAGAAAACCGGAGCTCAGCCTGTGAGGTCAACAGGGACAGACTACTCACCTCTGCCATGTGAGAGGAGTTTGGGCCGAGGAACCAGAAAAGGAGCTGGAAAAGTCCTCCCTGCAGACACCCCTGTAACTCAACAGCCAGAGAAGCTTCTGTCATCTGGCTCTTGCCATGTTGTCAAATATTTTTCTTTGAGGGGACATTGAAAACTTACCTGCAGGAGGCTGCAAGGGCTGCAAAACTTTACGCAGCCAGTCTAATGGGGAAGCATTCCCAGTGTTGTCATCTGGAAACAGAGATGGGAACCGTTTCCATGGCATGCTGGGATCCCCTCCTGCCTCAGAGAACTGTGGCACTGCAGGGGCTCGGGGAGCCCCGTGGGATCCAGATGTCAATGGACATGGCCAGAGCTGCAGAGGGGCCTGGGCAGCTCTGGGCTGGCTCCTGGCCGCTCTGCACACTCGTTCCAGGCCCTGTGCAACATCCCTGGGGGAGCGGCTGGAGCAGCCAAAGACCCTTTGGGTCTCTCTCCGCACCCAGGAAACCCTGGCTAAAGCCCTGGGGAAAACCATCCCAGACCCTTCCCGGGGAGAAGAGCCCGCTGGCCGGGAAAGGTGCCCCAGGCCGCCGGCTCACCTGCTCCCCGCGCTGGCACCGGAGCAGCCTGGGCAGCCCTGGCGTGCAGGGCCACTGCCAGGAGGAGGAGGAGGAAGAGGCGGAGAGCAAGGGCCATGGCCCCTCGCCCTCACACCGTCCGGCAGCTACTGCTGCCGCCGCTGTCCTGACACCCCTGTCCTGGCACCGCTGTCCTGACACCGCTGCTGTAAAATCTCTGTCCAGTAATCTCTGTCCAGTAATCTCTGTCCAGTAATCTCTGTCCAGAAATCACTGTCCAAACGCCACCAAATCTGACACCGCTGCCGCCGCCGCTGCTGCCGCAACAGTTGCAGTCAGGGACTGAGTGGTCGGTCATTGTGGTGCTGTGGGACCACGGGGCTCTGTGACCTCACAGCCCTGCTGTGACCTCACTGCCTGGGTGGGATTGTGAGGATAGAAAAGGCTTGCAGAAGATTTTGTTATGAGGAGACAGAGTTAGGTCCTTAGGAAGGCTTTTCTGCCTAAAAGGAATATGACAGAATGAATTACGGACTCCTGATTTAATGGACAGAAGTTGCTTTATTGCCCATGATCTAGGGTTTTTATCTCATTCACTCTCAGCTGGGAGTGGTTAAGCAAATTAAGACAGAACACAGCTGCAAGTCACACATCCATCACTCTCTCAGGCTGGCCCATCATGCACATCACACACACCACACACACAGACCCTGGAGTTTCAAGTTACCCCTCTTCACATCCCCGCATGGTGAATCGCAAACCGGACAGTTCAGCTCTCCCTAGGCAGTAAATCATGGCTTAGATAAAACAACACGAGATCATCAGAACATTCTTCAGGCCCTTCTCACACTTGGCTGCTAAAAAGGAACACCTTTCTCTAAGGCAGTTTGGCTGCTTTCTCCCTCCCCCCATTACCAGACAAGTCCTCAGCCTCTCTGTCTGCAACGGGAGCACAGAGAGAACGCTTACAGACACGCTACAGGGCCCGAGAGAGCCGGGGGGGCAGCGATAATAGAGAAGCCTGGAAGAGATCAGTGACTTTCTCAGGCCCAGTGCTCTTGTAGCTGGTGCAGAATTTCCTTTGGATGCTTTTGAATGTTCTTGTCTTCAAAATGAACCTTCTTGAATTCTTTCCACTGCCTTGGCATTTTTGGGGGATACCTGCATGTATGTTACTTTACAGGGATTGTGTGGGGATGGATCTCAGGAGCTGCCCTCCCAGCCAGGGGAGCACATCCCGCCACACAGCTCTGTCCAGTCGACTTGTTGGCCTGAGAACTGATTTGTATGACATTGCACAAGCGAGACGTTTCATGGCTCTACTGCAATCTCAATGCCAGCTCCAACATTCACCTCCTGTCGGTGATTCCCGCTCTTGCCGGCAGCACCTGCCAGCTCTTCCCCCGCCACGCCGACACCGAGTGTGTGCTGTGCACTCAGGGCTGGGGGGTGGCCCATATTGAAACAGGGAAGGACTTGATGCCGTAATTCATAAAAATAACCCAAGGCAGGCAATCAGGGCAGCTGCAGCAACGCCAGCACCGTGGGCCTGTGATCCCTCCCTGCCTGCTCCATCCAAGGGATGGCACCTTGGTACCAGCACAAGGGTTAGCCAACAGCAGCAAGGAATTCATCCATTGCAGACTGGACTGCCACGACATTAAAGGAAAAAGGCTGGGTGTCCCTCTACTGCAACTGAGGCTCCCAGTTCCCTTGGCGGTCACAATAGCATTTGCATTCCGGCAGCCATGGGCTTCCAGTGACTGGAACAGAGAAATATCATCCTTGGAAAGAGATAACAAGCTCTCCTGCAGGCAAAGGGATGTATTAAACACCAGCAGTGAACATGGAACTTTTTATTTGGGAGAGCACTTTCTGTTCCCACTCCCTCTGCCCTAAGAACTGAGCAGTGTCCACTGTCACTTTATCCTTTGCTGACTTGAGCCAGCTTTGGATCCAAGTACTTGGAATTGTAACATCTGTCCGAGTATCTCAGCTATGACAACAGTGAATAAGAAGCCCCTTTTTGGGATGTTATGACATTGGCTCTGCAGGGGAATAAACGGAGGGCAGTTTCTGTAAAATGCCTGCACAACCACCCCTGCACATCAGAGGCCACAGGAGGTTGGAGCTTAGGTGTGTTACTCCCTGTCAAGATACTGGTTTTGAGGGGAAAAGATGAAAAAAACCCCAGGATCAGCCACTCTTCCCGGGGAGAAGCGTTGAAAGTCTCTGCCCCTCAAGACCTTCCCAGCTTGTGGGCCATGGTCACTGCCGTCTAAGGCGTGGCCTCAGAACTCCCAGTGCCAGGCTGCCGCTGGTGTGAGAAGCCACGGGCTCAGCTGTCCCCCCGCAGTGCCTCCTGTGCCCTGGCGAAGCGCCGGGGCTGTAGGTGTGTGTTTGGTTTCAGCTCAGTGAGGAGACCCCTTGTTGTGCCTCCCCCCAGCTTGTCAGGCTGCCCCGTGGCCCCTTCGCCCCGCGGGTCCCTGGCCCGGCCGGACTGTCCCAGGAAGGGCCCTACTCGGCCCCAGACCAGAGAGCCTGGGCTGAGCCCCAGGCTCAGCCCTCTGCAAATGTTATGGGGCTCCCTAAGCACTTGCACACCACAAAAAGAGGCCCCAGAACCCCTGAGAACCTCATGAGGAGTGACAGCCCACTACATGGCTTATGAAGGATTCCAAACACCCTGCCCTCTTTAGAGGAAAATCCAACGCCCCCACCATGTTCCTCATCCCAGTCCTCAGCTCCCTGCAAGTCTTATGGGGGACCTCAGCCCCCTGCACACCATAGAAGACAGCCCAAAATATTCCTGGGTGCCTCCTGAGGGACACCAGTCCCATCTTATGGGGGACTCCAAATTCCCTCCTGCCATATGGGGACCCCCAGCCCAGCAACACCGAGTGTTTTGACCTGGGAGGTTGAGTGTGTGGTTGCCCCCAGATTGTTGGTGCTCTCTAGAGCTGTTCTGCAGCAAATCCTTCCATGAAGGGCTTCTGTATGGAGCACAGTCCAGTCCCATCCCCTATTTTTCCAAGGCAAGCCACTACTGAAAACCCTGGCAAATGGGTTCTGCAAATTTGTCAGATCCCAGGGTGTTACCCTGGCTGCCCTCTCAATGCTCCATTCAAGCAGTGGGTGATCACAGCTGAGTTACTCCCCAGGCAGTCAAAGCCTCGCTCAGAGAGCATCTGGACAGGAGCACAGCACCCAGAGGTGACAAGGAGACCCCTTGTTTTGCCTGCTGACATTACAATGTCCCTACAGATGCTCTTGATGGCTTCCCTCTTTTCCTGGGCATCCTATTTGAGAGGCCCAGGCCCAGATGGTTCCCACTGCATTAGTAAATGTGCCCTCATGCCCAAGGTTCCCTCACCACAGCGCTCCCCCAGCCCAGCTCTCTTTGGCCTGCCTGCCCACATCCGTGGGCATCCACGGCTGCGCCCGGGCACGGAGCTCAGCCAGGGCTGGGGCCTTGGGGCTTTGCTGGTGGGACCACTCAGACACTCAAGGGGGGGGTTATTTCTATTTATTTGTACATAAAGGTGGGCCAACCCCAACCCTGGCAGGGCAGGACCACCTTTAGACGGGGCTGGGGGGTGGGGCCGCAGGGCTCGGGGGCAGAGGGGCTCCTTTTCCTGGCAGCTGGACCAGGAGAGTGAGAAGCCCGTTCTTCAGCCGCGTCAGCACAGCCGGCTTTGGGCAGGAAGAGCAGAGATGAGAGGTCCAGCTCTTCCTGCCCGAGGTGTTTGGCTGGGCTGGAGCAGGAGCAGAGAGGAGCCTGTGGAGAGAGGAGGTGGCTGAGGCCCAGCTGCAGGGGGCACACAGGGACTCTGCTGCCCAGCAGGGCCCAGAGCTGGCAAGGCTCAGCAGCACGGGGGAGCTGCTGGCACACCTTGGCCCCGGTGGACACCTGCCCCTCAAGGCCCCAGCGAGCAGGGGGATGGCTCTGGGCAGGGGCCCTGGGCAGGAGCGGGCGCCAGGGCACGTCTGCCTTCCAAGGGCAATCTCGTCCCCGCTCCTTCTCCTCCCCACCTTGCTTTGCCTCTGCCCGTCCTGCTGGGGCTGCTCTTGGCCAGGCAGGCTCACTTGGAGCCAGCACTGGCTCCAGTCCCAGCGGGCTCCCCAGGAGGGGCCCAGCAGCTGAGAGGCCAGGACAGCACTGGACAGCAGCAGAACCCTCAGCAGAGTTCTTTGGCCAAGGACTAACTGGCCGCTCCACAGCAGCCAGGCTGGGAATGTTCCATGGCTAGGAGCTGCCTTCAAAAGAAGCTGTTTGAGGGGGAGATCAACAAACAACTCACCGTTTTCTCACCCTCCAGTACCAGATTCCAGCACAGCACAACAGGAAGACAAGCAGCCCTTCCAACACGCTTGCCACTATCACACTCAAACAGCCGGTTCCCCAACAGAAATCTCTCCCAGTGCTCTCCTGGATCTTGGGAGCACGTGTTGTGGCACCGGCTGCATCTGCGGGAGCAATTTGGAGCGTTAGCCCGTCCTGGGCACCCCTGCTAAGCCGACAGCACGTTGGACACAGCCAGGACATTCTCTGTTTCCCTCAGTGCGGGTGCCTGGAGGCTCCCAGCCCTGGGGACAGGCTGTCCCACCAAAGCAAACCCAGAAGGCCGGGAGGAGAGCCCGGGGGGAGCGGAGCTGCTTGAGCAGTCACTCCTTTGAGGGACACGCACACAACCCATCCCTGCAGCAGGCAGTGCCAGCCTCATCCTTCCCTGCCCTGGGACAGCTCCCACAGCCCAAGGGGATGGAGTCAGGCCCTCTGAGGAGACACGAGACCCTCTGCCCAGGGTGGGAGCCAGGGAGCGCCCTTTCTGAAGTTCCTTCAAAATTTCTTTCAGAACTTCATTTGACTCAAGGGTCTTTTTCTCTCCTGGACGTTGGCTCTTGCCTCTTGGAGGACCTGAATGGCAAGCAGTTCCATTTGACATGAATGGATTAGAGAAAACCAGAGCTCAGGCTGTGAGGTCAGCAGGGACAGACTACTCACTCATGCCATATGAGGTGGTCTTGCTCAGAGGAATCAGCAGAGGAGCTGGAAAAGTCCTCCCTGCGGACACCCCTGTAACTCAACAGGCAGAGACACTTGTGTCATCCCTGGGGCTCTGCACGGGCAGCCCTGAGGTACAGTGGGGGTGAGGGGATCCCGCAGGGACAGGGCACACACGGGCAGGTCTCTGTCCTGGCCCCTGCAGAGGCGCCCGGCTGGCCCAGCTTTGGGCTCTGAGCTGGCAGCTCTCCCAGGGGGAAAAGCCACAACGTACCCACACGACCTTCCGGAGGCTCAGTCCTGGGCCCCACTCCAGGTTCCTGATCACCGTCACCCCCAGGCTTGGCTGCAAAGAAGGGCAGGACAGAAGAGCTCCCGTGACCCAGTTCAGACTCTCCCTCAGGCCGGAGGGGCAGGGAGTGCAACTGGGCAACGGGATCCCTGCAGGGCCCTCATCTCTGCCCTCCCCTCAGGAGCAGGGGCAGAGCTCCCACAGGCCAGCAGTGGCCCCTCGCTGGCACCAAAGGAGCCCCACGCAGAGCTGTCAGGGCACCAGGGACTCCCTGGAGCTGCCCCAGCTCCAAACTCAGCCCCAGCGAGGGCCATGGCTTGGCAGCCGCAGCGGGAGCACCTCCGGCTCCGAGGGGCCGGCAAAGGAGCCGCGCCAGGCACAGCCCCCCGGGCACAGCCCTGAGCCCGGCCCCTTCCCTCTCTGCCCTTCTCCGTGTCCACACGGAGGGAGCAACTGGCATCTCCAGGGAAAGAAGATTAAAAGCTCCCCCTGACAGGGATCCTGTGGGATCCCTCTTGGGCCTGAGCAAAGAGTCGGCCATGATTGCCACAATCCAGCAACCTTGAGAGGGTCTTAAGGAAAATGGCACATGAATGAGCTCTTGCCACATTGAAAGGGATTATTCTGTCAGGAAAGGGACATTGAGAATTTGCCTCCAGGTTGCCCCAGGAAATTCAGTGCATCATTCAGCAGGATTTCCCGATAATCCAAGTCATGATCCCCATCTAGAAGCAAACAGGGATGGGAACCGTTTCCATGGCATGCTGGGATCCCCTCCTGCCTCAGAGAACTGTGGCACTGCAGGGGCTCGGGGAGCCCCATGGGGGCCAGATGTCAATGGACATGGCCAGAGCTGCAGAGGGGCCTGGGCAGCTCTGGGCTGGCTCCTGGCCGCTCTGCACACTCGTTCCAGGCCCTGTGCAACATCCCTGGGGGAGCGGCTGGAGCAGCCAAGGGCCCCTCGGAGCTCTCTCAGGAGTGCAGAGCAAACCCTCACTGAACCCACATCGTGATGGGCCCGAGCGGGCACTGGGGGAAGAGCTGCTGCCACACAGCCACCCCGATGGCCGACACCGATGACCACGCCTCAGCAATTACTCCGTGTGCCCGTGCCTGGCATCGCCTCCCTGCCCGCAGCAGAGCCTGGCACGGAGCCACTGCTTCCTTTGGGGAACGCCGCCTGCCACAGAGCCCCTTGGTCCATCTCTGGGGAAAGCAAGAGGGACAGCTGGATCAGAGGGAGCTGTTCTCCATAAGGGAAGTGGCATCTTCAGGAGGCAATGCTTATAAAAGACATGGGAAAGGTCCAGGGAAACAGCCAGGCTTTTGGGGCTGGGTCAGGGCACTCCCTCCTCCAAACAGCCGCCACACCGGAGCTGCCGGGAGACCAGACCAGGCAATTGCAGGGGATCTCCTGGTCTGCAGGGCCCGTGGTGCATTTGGGGCACAGGATCAGGGGATGCTCAAGGCCTTCCTGCAGAGGCCGGGGAGAAGCTGCAGCCAGGCCAGGCGGGGAAACAGCCCCGCAAGGTGAGAAAGCAGCAGCGGGGCAGCGAGGCTGCGATGGATCCCTTCCCGCTGTGCAGCCACTGCCTGTCCACACGTGGATCTAAAGCCCCCGGCTGATGGGTCTCACGGCTCAGGCTGAGGAAACAGACCCACCTTGCCCTTTCTGAAGTTCCTTCAAAATTTCTTTCAGAACTTCATTTGACTCATGGGTCTTTTTCTCTCCTGGAGGTTGGCTCTTGCCTCTTGGAGGACCTGAATGGCAAGCAGTTCCATTTGACATGAACAGATTAGAGAAAACCGGAGCTCAGCCTGTGAGGTCAGCAGGGACAGACTACTCACCTCTGCCATGTGAGGTGGGTTTGGGCGGAGCAACCAGAAGAGGAGCTGGAAAAGTCCTCCCTGCAGACACCCCTGTAACTCAACAGCCAGAGAAGTTTCTGTCATCTGGCTCTTGCCATGTTGTCAAATATTTTTCTTTGAGGGGACATTGAGAACTTACTTTCAGGAGGCTGCAAGGGCCCCAAAACTTTACGCAGCCAATCCAATGGAGAAGCATTCCCAGTGTTGTCATCTAGAAGCAAACAGAGATGGGAACCCTTTCCATGGCATGCTGGGATCCCCTCCTGCCTCAGAGAACTGTGGCACTGCAGGGGCTCGGGGAGCCCCGTGGGGGCCAGATGTCAATGGACATGGCCAGAGCTGCAGAGGGGCCTGGGCAGCTCTGGGCTGGCTCCTGGCCACTCTGCACACTCGTTCCAGGCCCTGTGCAACATCCCTGGGAGAGCGGCTGGAGCAGCCAAGGGCCCCTCAGGGGTGTCTCCTGCACTCAGGAAACCCTGGCTAAAGCCCTGGGGAAGACTGCAGCAGGCAGTGCCAGCCCCATCCCTCCCTGCCCCGGGACAGCTCCCACAGCCCAAGAGGACGAAGTCAGGCCCTCTCAGGAGACACGTGAGCCCCTGCCCAGGGTGGGAGCCAGGGAGCGCTCCGGCCCTCGGCTCGCGGGAGGGATCCCGCTCTGGGCTGCTCTGGTGCCTTGGGCCTCTCGAGACTCAGGGCCAGCTCTGGGAGCAGCTGCAGCGGGAGGGACCTTGGGGCCAGAGTCCCGTTTCCCAGGGGCTGCAGAACATGCTCCAGATGCCTCCAACCTGTCGTGCTTTCAGCTTTGGCTGCTGCCGTGATGGGCCCGAGGGGGCACTGGGGGAAGAGCTGCTGCCACACAGCCACCCCGATGGCCGACACCGATGACCACGCCTCAGCAATTACCCCGTGTGCCCGTGCCTGGCATCGCCTCCCTGCCCTCAGCAGAGCCTGGCACGGAGCCACTGCTTCCTTCAGGGAACATTAACTTGTGAACAGCCCCTTGGTCCATCTCTGGGGAAAGCAAGAGGGACACCTGGATCAGATGGGACCATTCTCCGTTAAGGAGGTGGCATCTTCACGATACAAGGGATCTCCTGGTCTGCAGGGCCCGTGGTGCATTTGGGGCACGGGGTCAGGGGATGCTCAAGGCCTTCCTGCAGAGGCCGGGGAGAAGCTGCAGCCAGGCCAGGTGGGGAAACAGCCCCGCAAGGTGGGAAAGCAGCAGCGGGGCAGCGAGGCTGCGATGGATCCCTTCCCGCTGTGGGCAGCACGCATGTCGCACACTGGGGCTCAGTCTGAGGAAAAGATCCACCTCGCCTTGCTGAGTTCCTTCAGAATTTATTTCAGAACTTGCATGTGACTCACGGGTCCTTTTTCTCTCCTGGAGGTTGGTTCTTGCCTTTTGGAGGACCCGAATGGAAGGTGGTTCCATTTGAAATGAACGGATTAGAGAAACCAGAGCTCAGCCTGTGAGGTCAGCAGGGACAGACTACTCACCTCTGCCATGTGAGCTGGGCTCCTGTGGAGGAACCAGCACAGGACCTGGAAAAGTCTTCCCTGTGGACACCCCTGTAACTCAACAGCCAGAGAAGATTCTGTCATCTGGCTCTTGCCATGTTGTCAATTATTATTCTTTAAGTGGATATTGAGGCTTACCTGCAGGAGGCCTAAATGGCTTCAAAACTTCACGCAGCCAATGTAAAGGAGAAACATTACCAGTGTCCTCATCTAGAAGCAAACAGAGATGGGAACTGTTTCCATGGCATGCTGGGATCCCCTCCTGCCTCAGAGAACTGTGGCACTGCAGGGGCTCGAGGAGCCCCGTGGGGGCCAGATGTCAATGGACATGGCTAGAGCTGCAGAGGGGCCTGGGCAGCTCTGGGCTGGCTCCTGGCCGCTCTGCACACTCGTTCCAGGTCCTGTGCAACATCCCTGGGGGAGCGGCTGGAGCAGCCAAGGACCCTTTGGGGCTCTCTCCGCACTCAGGAAACCCTGGCTAAAGCCCTGGGGAAAACCATCCCAGACCCTTCCCGGGGAGAAGAGCCCACTGGCCGGGAAAGGTGCCCCAGGCCGCCGGCTCACCTGCTCCCCGCGCTGGCACCGGAGCAGCCTGGGCAGCCCTGGCGTGCAGGGCCACTGCCAGGAGGAGGAGGAGGAAGAGGCGGAGAGCAAGGGCCATGGCCCCTCGCCCTCACACCGTCCGGCAGCTACTGCTGCCGCCGCTGTCCTGACACCCCTGTCCTGGCACCGCTGTCCTGAAACCGCTGCTGTACAATCTCTGTCCAGAAATCTCTGTCCAGTAATCTCTGTCCAGTAATCACTGTCCAGTAATCACTGTCCAAACGCCACCAAATCTGACACCGCTGCCGCCGCCGCTGCTGCCGCAACAGTTGCAGTCAGGGACTGAGTGGTCGGTCATTGTGGTGCTGTGGGACCACGGGGCTCCGTGACCTCACAGCCCTGCTGTGACC